TAAGATAAAAGTGCATATGTTTTTAGAAAGGTGTACTATATAAAAGTATTTTGTGTGAGTTCAGGAAAGAGACGCAGAAGGTTCATAACAATTCTACCAATAGTTAAAGTGTAAACTAACACATAAAAAGACGTGTATTATGTTTTATAAACACGGATTAAATATTAAAAAATCGATTAAATATTTGATATGTTTTAAGGCATATATTCAGATTTTTAAATTTTTGCAGTTAATATTTTTTAATTTTGTTGATAAATTTTAACCTAAAACGTACATTATTCATCAAAGTTAATGTTTGCTAAAGATCAAATAACAATTTTTAATAGCTTTTATTCTTGTTTATAAGAGTTATTCCAGCAGTGTTTGAGGTTGAACAGACGAAAAACGGTTGTAACACTTGAAATTGAAGAGGGCAGAAAATAGTCACTTGAATTCACATTAGAATTAGAGAATTTTAAAGATGTGCAGATATAAGATTGCATAGTTGAAAAGATTAATTGTTAGAGAATTATAAAGATTGATTGTTATTATCTACACCAACAAAAATATCTTCTTTTTGATAGCCTAACAAATAAAAATCCCACAAATAAGCGTATTTGACTTGAAGTAATATTGAATGAGTGACCTTCTGAGAAGTTTTTCGAAAAGTGTTTGATTGAGAATAAAGGATACTGAAAAGATCCGTGTTAATTTATAGGGTCAATCAGTAATTTTAAAAATAGTCTGAGGCATTATAATTAGGGATGACAAACGGGTATGCTCGCTCCGTTTAGGCGCACCCCATAAAAGCTTGCATAAAATAAGGCGGAGCGAGGTGGGTATAGTGTATGATAGAGCCTTAAAACCTACGTCTATCCCACAAAAAAGTGAGAACTGAGTTAGAAAGTCTGCGGGTCCTACATTTTTTAAGTTTAAAAATACAAAAATTTAGATGAATTTTCACGCTCGCAATAGTTCGAAGAAAAATGAGACGGAACGGAATAGTCACATTAAAGAATAAAGACCTAAACCTTTTATTTGCACCGCACAAGTCATGCCTAACAAACGAACCTGTTTTATTATCCTTAATTACAAATTAAATCATTAGGTAATTTTAATTATTTATGACAACTTAATCGTAACTATCCAACCATAAACCTTTAAAAATTCAAGAAGAACCTATACTTGAGTCTGAATTACCCAACCTAAATTCAAGATTGTCACTGAAAATGAGGTTGTTATTTACTCTTTGTTAGCATGCCATGAATGTCCTTAAGATCGATACTCTTGTGAGTAACATTTGTTTTGTGTTTCATTTTGAGTGACTAGGGTAGGGGGTCCAAACTAGAACTTGAAGGGTATGGGAAACAGGACCACACCAGCATTCATTTTCAAGTCTTGCAGGGTGTACACATGTGTGTAATATACATGTGTCTATTTATTCATCAACCAAAGAATAAATACATAAATTTTTTGTCACGTATTTTAAAATTATCATAAATATATATAGGTTGAAGCTACCACAAAATTTAAATTTATACTAACATACAAACCCAATGCTAGATGCGCATTCAACATTGTTCGGTAAGACAAATGATCCACAAACTCCAACAGATAATTTAAAAATTAAATTAAAAATTATAAAAAGGTTTGTACCTACTTGACTTGGCCCAGTTTTACGCTAATATTATTTTGCAATTATCCATGAAAACGAGAGTTTATCAAATCACAAAAAATTATCCACGAGTATATAATAATGTTATATACGCAAATAATAAAACTGTAGGGTCATTCAATGGCCATTGTATTAGCTTAGATGTCAATGTATCAAATTGTTTTCTCTAATTACATCTTATTAATCATATTGTTGCAATATTCAATCAATTAATGTTACGCAAATCATTAGACATTATGTTTATCCAGTTGTGATTTGGATTCTAGTTCATAATGAGATTAATAGTTCACTAAAAAAAATGAAATTCAGTTCATTTTTGTCATCAAAATAAATGTTAAATATTTTTTTATTTTAAATATTATATATATATATATATATATATATATATATATATATATATATATATATATATATATATATATATATATATATATATATATATATATATATATATATATATATATATATATATATATATATATATATATATATATATATATATATATATATATATATAGTATTAAGAACAACTTTAGCGCATGGTTGTTAAACTAAAATTTTGTATAGCTTACGTTAGTAATAAAGAATTTGTATTATAGTAGAGCTGACATGACGTTTAGTGAACTAAAGTTTAATTTTCATTAGAGCAACTTTAACGCATAGTTGTTAAATCAAAATTTTGTATATCTTACGTTAGTAATAAGAAATTTGCATTATAGTAGAGCTGACATAGCATATGAGATGCTCTAAAACTAATTTACGTGCTCTACACAAGCAACGTACTCTAACTCATTATTTAACACAAATAATAGATTTTTATTAATTATTTAACATAAATAATAGATTTTTATTAACCATTTAATACCAAGTTTGAATTCCTTATAAACAATCACTATTAAAGTAAAAATTTCTTAATTCAATTTTGGATTGTTTAAATCCTCCGTGTCAATTTGAACCCACGTAAAATAACTTAGTTCATCCAATTTAGTTATTCTCATTAAAGATATTCTTATCTATATAGTTAACGTTAACTATTCAATATAAAATATATTATAATATTATTTAATATTAATAAAATATTTCAACGGTATTAAATTGATGGTAATTTGAATAAAAAATATAAAATGTGGGGTCAAGTTTTAGTTTCTTATAGACAACCATCATTAAAATAAAAACTACTCAAATCAACTATAAATTTTTTAAATCCTACAAAATACTTTGGGCCCACAAAAAATATCTTAATTTATCCATTTAGTTTGCTTCCATTAAAGATGTTATATATATATATATATATATATATATATATATATATATATATATATATATATATATATATATATATATATATATATATATATATTTGTGTATGAAAAAAAATCATATTGTTATTTTAGAAAAATGGTCCGATAAATAAATATATATATATATATATATATATATATATATATATATATATATATATATATATATATTTGTGTATGAAAAAAAATCATATTGTTATTTTAGAAAAATGGTCCGATAAATATAGATATTCTAGTTGTACCTATAAAATATACTAATATTCGGTTAGTATCTATTTTGTAGTTAAGCATTGTAGGGATATTTTAATTGATTAAATTTTAAAGCATGCTACGTTACAAATATTTTTTATTTAATATTCCAAAACGTCAAATACTTAATCCAAAAAAAGGAATAGGTCAAACAAATATAGAAAACCAGGAAACTATGAGTTGTATTTTACATATTCCCACTGTATTACATTATTTAATTTTATTTCTTTCAAATTATGTCAGATTTTAGTAACGTATGTTTCAAGTTTCTTTTTACAAGTAATACATAATCGCTTTCTCAAAAAAACAATTTAACAAGTATCCAAAAAATATATATTAGATAATGACTATAGAGAAAAGAAATGAGTTATTTTGCAAGGTGGTGGTGGTGATGGAGTAAAGTACAAGAGTATCCCTGTCTGTCCATACGAGAGTTTCCATGAGTAGCCAAACAGTCCACATTGAGAACTCTGCTTTTTTTCTTCTTCTTTGGATTCTACATTTGTGTGGACTGAATAATAAAGATGCCTACCTTGGTAACTGAAAAGTAAAGGTTCTGCCTACAAACATGAGAAGGTTTGTTTTGTATGACTGTGTCTCAGTCTTGAATCGTAATTAGTGTAATCAAAATGTAAAAAAATTGTCGGTCAAAGTAAACAATCGAATCTATGGTTAGTCAAATTTTCATTACTGGTATAAGGGTTACTCGAATAAAAACTTGTCAAGTATGAAGTATATCTGACTTTTTCTAAAATTTAATGAGTCCATGCAGGTTTAAGGATTTAGCTTCAATCAAAAAGACAATCAAATTATTCTAAATTAGATCATCATCAACCTAACCATGTGCTCTCTAACCTTAGGATTTTTCCACACATATAAACCAATACGACTATAATTTTATCCCTTATCTTTGTATTCTTTACATTGCTTCCCTAACTTTTATCATTTCTATATTTTCACGTCTTCTGCACTGTTTCAGCTACAACAAGTTTGAGCATTTGGGTTTTCCAACCTTTACCTTTACTATTCTTTGTAATTCACTTCAGTTATTCCTTCCATTCTTTTGGGGCATGTTTGACTTGCAACCAATCTAGGATCTATTTTCAAATTTGATTCAACTCTGCACATCCAAAAAAATAGATGTTGGATCGTTTCTACATATGGATAAAAGAAACATCTATCGTTGCCAATCATATTGAACCTATGCAACCTTTCTTTAGAAGCTAATATATCATGACAAGCTAACCAAAGCACAAACAAAGCTCTTGGTCGTGCCATGTTGCTGTAGAAAATCTTCCTCCAATTCATAATCTAGTACACTTCTTTCAGGGACATGTAGATTTTCTTTGTATTAAATTTCTCATTTAGCTGCACATTATTCCATACCTACACTTGTTAGACCACATTCCTTTGATTCAGAATGGCTATAAGGATCTATGATAAGTTTTTTTTTTACTTGCACTGTCATCATTTGCTCATTCTTGATGTAGTAGTTATGTATCCATTTAATCCATACATTAACAGCCTTGCCACTTAAAATCTAAAGCAATCTCACCATGTTTGCTTTGCTCCACTTTTCTAACGGGATTAGGTTCATTCCTCATTGGGAAGGAGCAAAAACTTGTTTCCAAGTGATAGGGGATTTTCTGGTTATTTCACTTCCACCTGTCCACAAGAAAGACCTACAGATAACATCATTTTTTTTAATTACCAGCTTAGGAAGAGGGAAACAATGCATCCATTAATTTGTGATAACAAATGTCATACTTCTGATGAGTTGGATCCTTCTAGCATAACTAAGCAGTTTTGCACTCTAGTGTTTGATCCTCGCCATAATTTTGTTTATCAAGCTCATATAATGGGGAATATACAGTTTTTTTACTAGTTAGAGGCACACCTAGATACCTTAAAGGTAGAGAGCCTTCTATGAAAAATGGTAGCTTATTTATCTCTTCTTTTGTGTGGCCTACCACCCCTTCAAAATAGGTTTTACACTTGAAAGGATTCACTCTAATGCATGTGGATCTTGAGAACTTATTCAAGGTATCCATCACTAACTAAATAGATCATGTATCTCATCTAACAAAAATAAGGAGGTCATGTGTAAAACTGAGATTGATGATGTGCAATATGTTTCTCACGCTTTGAATGGAAGTTGAAATCAAGATTCTTTCTCATCTTCTATAAAGATCTATGCAAATACTCTACAACAATCATAAAAAACAACGGAGAGATGTGATATCACTGTCTCAGTCCTTTTCTTACCTTCATAAGCTTGGTGTAATCTCCATTAATAATGAACTTGTAAGACATGTAATAGTTAACAGAATTCATCTAATAAATTGATCAATGAATTCAATTTCTTTTAATATTTTTTTCAAATCTTTCCAATTAACAATATCATAAGCTTTTTGAAGATCCAGTTGTAACATACATCCTGGTGTGCCTCATTTCCTGGTATATCCTCTAATTAGTTCATAAGCAAGGAGAATGTGTTGTCTTGGAAAAAAAGTTGTGTGGCTTTGATTGACAATGTTGGTGATCACTTTACCTAGCCTAGTGGTAAGGATATTGGAAATGACTTTGTAAATAGTAGTACAATAAGATATGAGTGTGTAGTCTTTGATAACTATGACATCTTAGCTTGTTAGAATGAGAGTCACCAAAATGTTGTTGATTTTACTATATATCTTCTCATTCACAAAGAAGTCCATCACAACTGTTATAAGATCTTGCTTCACTATGTTCTATGTTGTAACACCCCGAATTTTAATCGGAATATTTTAAATTAATTATTTAATTGAGAATATTCATGTTTCGGTGAATTTCCGATGGTTTTGTGAAGTATTTGAAAAATGTGCATTTTTGGGTATTTATTTGATTAATAGCATATAATATTAATCTATTAGTATTATTATTAATTAAAATGAATATAAGTGAAATAAGGGTAAATTGGGCATTTGAAGGAGTTAGTAAGGGTAATGAGTGAAAAGCCCAAATTGTGAGGCCCGGGTTTGACAAAATAGAGTTCTGAATGGAAATTAGAATTCATTTGTGTTAACCGTGAAAAGTTTGGTGGCCAGAGCTCTGAAGGAAAGGTTGGAGGCAGAAGATTCCCAGAGTTAATCGTGAAAGCTTTGAATCGGCTAAGGTATGAGGAGTATAGCTTTTCATGATTTTCCATGTATGTCTTTCGATGTGTTTATGGTTAATTTAAGATTTAAGGTATTTTGGGTTGATTGTGGGAAAATTAGGGAAATTGATGATAAGACTCTGAGAGGTTATGGCTAGTGGTATGTATCACTGAATATTTGATATGAGGATTAGGAAACCTTAGGCCTTCGTGGCCAAAACCTTAGATTATTATATGCCTGACCATAAGGGATAGGAATATGTGATATGAGAAATTATGATGCCTTCAGGGCAATTGTAGGGAAATTGTGATTTAGAACATGAATAGGTTCCGGTATTGGCCTACTAAACCGTAGGTTTTATGCCTTTATCGCCGTATGACCTTAGGGATGATTTAGGGATGTGTTGGGGGCATTGGGTAAGTGAATCGTATGGGTAATTGGGTAGAAATTAGTTCTGGTGCGTAGCAGTTTTTGCTGTTATCGCACTGTTCGCCTAGCGAACCATGTTTTCCCAGACTCGCCTAGCGAACATGCCAGCGAACGTAGTAGAGTTTCGCGAATATTGATCGTGTGCAGCGATGTCGTGATGTTTGAATCTGTGATTTCTGTGATGGATTACCATGAGTGTGAAGTGAGTTTTGGGCTATATGTACACGATGACATGATGGTTTCTATGATGCATTGATTGAATTAACATGACGAAATTACCATGATTTGATAAATTATGTGATAACATGAGATATGATGATTTATGTGATGATGATGAATATGATGAATGATGATGCACCATATGCTGTATTATGAGGATTATTATTGTGACGCGGACATCATGCATTCATGTGCATCCGGACTTCGGTTCAGGACCTCGATTACTTTGGCTTCAATCCCATTGTGTGGATGTGAAGTGTTTTGATGTGCTCCGGTTCTCTAGCAGAATCGATCCTATTGATGGGGATCTATGGAGGGTTGATGGCCCAGTGTCCATCGCGCTGTGATGATTGGTACCACATGCATTGAGTCTATGTTGCATTTGCATTTATGAGCCTTTTTGTATAAATTATGACGTTGTGTCCTTCGAGGCATATTTGAGGAATATGAATGTGTGAATATAATTATGATGCCGTTTATGCTTTAATTGTTATACATTGATTATTATGAATTGATTTACTCACCCTTCCTGTTTGAATGTTATCTCCACGTGGGTAACGTGCAGATGACCAAGTTTAGTTGTGGATGTCGTCGAGGAATTTTAGAGTCGTTAGCCTTTATGGTTAACTTAGAGGGTCTTGCTCTGATATGTAACATCGGGTTGGGTTTTTTGAGTTAAACTTTATACCGTTGAGTTATTTTGCTAACTTTCCCTTATGAGGAAAAACCTTAATTTATGCTTTGAGTTCCGCTGTTTTATGTTGTTTGATGTATTTTGGAGAAAACCCGTAGTTACGAGTATTGACCTATTTTGATGATATTGAGAAATGTACGCCCTTTTGGTGACTTTTTATTGAGATTTATTTATTTATTTACTCTGAAATCCATGTAATTTTACCTTATTAATCGTGGGGTAGAAAAGGGTGTTACACATATGCCTTTAAAGAACCTAGCACCATATCCCTCCATCCTTAGGGCCTTTAAGTCTTCAATTTCTTTTAGAACTTTCAAAATCTCCAGCTCTGACACAAGTTCAACTAAAAATTCTCTCTACTCATTAGTTAGTTGTGCTCCCTCTCTCATCGCTATAATATCAATACCTTTTATATCGTTCTCTACCTTTCTCATTAGTATACATTAAAACTCGAAAACCTCTTACTTAATATCTTATTGAATAGTCACAAGAGTACAATCCTCTTTGCAGATATTTTTCATGATATTCTACTTATGTTTTGATTTTAGAAAGGCATGAAATTATAAATTATTTGTATCCCTAAATTTGAGCAAATTTATCTTTGCTCTGTCACATACACTAATTATTCAATTTCACTCTCCATGAAGACCTCGTCTGTACGCTCCTTAATTTTTTCAATATTATAAATATTCGTATTGTTTTGTATGAGGACTTGTTGTGCTTTCAAAATATATGCTCTAGCCTTCTCCAATTTGAGTTTAATACCATATAGAAGTTTGGTCATGCTTTTCAAGATAAGGTTGCAGTCTTTGTAATTTTTCCCCTAGCACATACTTTACACATGAATTTTTACAATTATCTATTTTACATTCATTTATTGAATCTACGACAAAAAGAAAAAAAATCACATAATTAGTGGATAGAAATTAATCTCGACGTCTAATATATTTAAGTTATATACACTATTTTCATTCTAAAAATAAAGTCCTAAAAGGTAGATTAAGTGGGTGAGAGAAAAGTTAGATTGAGCGATGAGAGTGACATTGAGATAGGTAAGAAAGAAAGGATCCAATGAGAAAAAGGCAAAAGAATAGGCACCCACACGCACCGTATTGATTTTTTGGATAAGCGCTTTCAGAATGTGGGGACTATGCTAATAAAGACACTATGCCACACGCGTTCTTCAAAACATCACCAAATTTGCTTCTCATTATACGATTTTGTTTTCTATAATTAATTTTATAAAAAAGAAAATTCAATATAAATTATTTAAATATAAATCACTTCTACATTCATTTTTATTTTGACATAATTAATTTTATAAAAATAATTTATTCAAAATTATTATTTATTATCATAGAACCAAACACATACATAATTTATCGTTTAAGTTTAGTAACTCAGAACATCCAAAAATATTACTTAATATTTTTTTAAGGAGTTAAGAAATTCATCGTTGAAAGACAAAGTTTTCTTCATAACATAATTGTTTGAAGAAGGAAAATCACACTTGTGAACTCTTACCTAATACATCGGCTAATTTTCAAGTTTGATAACAAATTTGACATGCCTAGTAAGACTCTAAAGTAAAAATCATTGAAAAGTTCAATTATCCAAGTCACTACAATGTTTGAGATATGCACTTATGTTTAAGAAAGAGTTTCATCAGTATGGGCTAACCATCACCATCAATATCCTAGAGGTTGGACTAACATATAACTAATAATTCTACACTAACGATAGAAATATATATATATATATAGAATATATATATATATATATATATATATATATATATATATATATATATATATATATATATATATATATATATATATATATATATATATATATATATATATAATTCTCTTTCATTCTTTTGAAGACCCATCAGTTTATTCATATGAAACCCTAATCGTCATGACTACTTCTTTCATCAGACAACAAATTGACACGAGGATAAAAAAAATCATGTATTAAGTTTTTCAATAACTCTTTCATATTATTAAACTTGTGATGTATGATAAAGTTTAACAAGCTAGAGAATTAGTGAATAAACAAGTCAATGGTTCTAACAAACCAACCACTTCAACAATCAAGATGATGAGTTAGGAGAAAAGCTAGCGAAATAGTATGTTTTCTTGGAGGTGTTAGAGTGTGTGGAAATTCAAGAATTAGAAATGTATTTGTGGATCAATGTGCTTGCAAGTATGAAGTCAATGATCCTGATGTTATTGACTATCTTAATGTTTTGATGATCTTAACACTGATTCCATTTAAAGTCGGTGTTGATATCTTTCTAACTTCTCGATGATGGTGATTAACTAGAAGATATCTCAAGCATCATCAAGAATAAGATTCAAGGTTCTAGTGGAATGCTTATATGATCGATATATTTGACAAAGAAACTTGAAAGTTTCAAAGTTGTGAAGGAGATGAAGTGTGAAAGTTTGTTTGGTATTGTTTGTCTGAGTGACCAGAGTCTTGTGAAAGTAGGAGAGTAACTCCTAACATATACACACGCACATGCACGCGCATACGCGCGCGCACACACACACGCACCTAAAATAGTTTA